CGGCGCCGGTGCTGCCCCGTGCTGCTGTGTCTCCCTGGCAGAGCGCACGAGGCCCTGTAGCGTTAGAGTCGGTATGAGAAATACCTGTGCGATGCGTATTCCTCTTCTGACTGCTGAAATGCTTTCCTGTACGTGCCCCTGTCCCAGGGGCTTTCCGTGTGCGGATTTCAGCATTAGCTGCTTCGTATCTCACGGTTGCTCCCATCGCACGTGTTTCTTTGTTTCCTGGGCACAGAAACAAAAAGCACAGTTATCTTCTAATAACGAAATGGAAACTAGGAGGAGAAACAGACTGGAGCATCGCAAAAATGCCCGGTTTCTCTTTGGTGTTTTGTTTTTTAATCCCTAGGAACATGCTTCAGGAAGGTGCACATGGAAAATGGACAGTGTCTAGTAGTGATGAAAGTACCGAGGAAAACTCTGACAGCGAAAAGCCATCTACATCTTCACCATTGGATGCTGTACGTGGCAGAACAAGTGGGCCACAATATCCGTGCTCTGAAGCTAGGAAAGCTGCTCACAAGAGAAAAGCTTCTCCCTTGAAGCTTGGTGATAAAAGTTTTTCTACAGAAATACCTCCAGCAGAAAAACAGAGAACTAACCAAGAAGGCTTAGGCTGGTGTCTTTCTAGTAGTGATGAAGAGCCTGAAGATCAGCAAAAGCATGCCCACAAAGAAACACTGAAAGAAGAAAAATGTGATGCACCCAAAGAACATCCTTTGAATCTTCACAAAGATGATGAACTCTCAGAGAATCAGAAAGCAGAGGAGTATGATGAAACACCCAGTGAAGCCCAAGATACCTGGGATTTGTTGAATGGAGGGAACCCTTTCAGGTTTTTTCTCACTAAAGTCAGTGGAATTGAACAGAGCTATAATTCTGGAGCCCTGCACATAAAAGGTGAACAAGGGGCTTGTATAGAAGTAAGCTTTTGGGAGACTAGTTTGCAAGATATTGCTTATTTTTTGTTTGTGGATATTTTTAAGTTCAAATATTCCTTGGTGTAACTGAGGCTTCACATTCTAAATGTGCAGGTTGTAGGAACTGGTTCTCTTATTTTTGCCTTTCTCTATTAGAAGTATAGTGTATAGAGCATTAATTTGCTGCTGCTGATTCTGTTGTAACTTCTGAGTTATGCTGCACAAATACAACGTGCGTTTAGCCAAGGCAAGTCATATGGTGCTTATTGTTGCTTTCTGTGTGAGTTAATCTGGGGAAAACTGCTTGCTTTCCTGGCTCTTGAAGGGATGCTTTTCTTGGGTGTGTAACCGTGCTCCCTGAGTAGCTGTTTGCACTTCCTACTGCTGAGTGGTTTGGGCCTCGTAATTCACCATTACTTGACGCGGTATGAGGTAGTGCTTCTGAAGTTCTGTGTCTGGGATTCATGGGTCTGTTTAAATTCAATTAGAACTGAGCGTAAGTCAAGATGGAGTGAAGGCTTGGGTGTACAATGCTGGTGCTTCAGGAATGCTGTGTAGTTGTAGTTTGATGTAAAGGGGAACAGCTCTATGCACCTGTAAACATCCCCTCATTCGGGAATGAAATCTCATAAATCACAAGACAGAATCAGGAACAAGCATTAATACAGTAAAATGAGGCAGAAGAATTTTGTAGTTCTTTGAAGGACGAGAAATGACTGACGAGCTATACAATTAGGTTGTAACTTTACTTCAACCTTATGTGCTCCCTGTGAGCGTTGATTATTGTTAGCAGCCTGGTGTCAGAGACCTCACTTGCTTTACTGCTGTATGTCTTCATCTGCTTCATGTATTCATTGTGGCTTTTGGCTTGTTCTCTTTGAGGACTAGTTGTCCTGCTAGGTGGTTAGTTGAGCTGATGGAGGAGCTTACTTTTTTGTTTGTTTAATCTGCAAAATCATATTCTATAGAGATAGGGCATGAAATATTTTGTCAATCCTAGAAGGTTATTTGTAGGATACGCTTTAAAGTTGCTGCTGTGCTTCAGTTATTGAGGTTGTAAATCCTCAGTTGGATTAGTTTTCTGTGTTACCATGAATGAACTAAGGGTACACATATCCTACAACCAGTCAGCAACAGGTAAGTCTTTGAGCATTAGCTATGACCTTACTGCTTCTACCCTGCCACAGTTCTTCAAGCCCTTTATGTAGGGGAGAGAGTAGTTTGACCTTTCTCCGTATGATCTTGGTCTTTCTCCTAATGAGTTTCTATAATTTGTTTTCTACTTTTTTGAGAGAGAGTTAATGCTTTTTATAGATGTAAGACCATAAGGGTTTCACAGGAGAATTGGTGACTTGAATATTCAGAGCAGTAAACTTCATTGTGAATGTCTGTTACACCATGTCTTTGAAAAATCTGGTACTTGTGGTAGTTACCAAACTGTTCAAGATGTGAAATGCTTAATTGAACCTTTTTTTACTCAATTATGCTCTCATGTTTTTAATAGATATTTTGTCTCCTCTTTTTGGGACTCTCATATCTTCTGCCCAGGTGAGTTTCCTGTTTGACAAATTGATTTCACTTGCTTATTTCACTTCATTAACCTTCAGCTTGGTAATCCATGTTTGTGCCATGTAGCTGGTATTAGCAGGGAACTTGTTAAAATGCAGATGGAATTCTTAAGTGTTCTCAACTGAACAACAACTTATTGAAATATAAAAATAGTCTCATGTTCTGCTTAGAATTCAGGCAATTATAAGATTGCTTTCCTCTGTTTTCAGGGAATGCACAATTTAAAAACACATATTTATGGCATGTAAATGATTTTTTGAAAGCCTTGCAATCTAGGAATGATATTTTTGTTATTGCTTAGAAGCTTTTGCTACTACTGTTCATGGTATAAGCACATGGCAAAGAGATGGTTCTTGAATCAGAGCTTTTACATTATGTGTATGTGAGTCTTGTTCTGTATGTTAAATTTTATGAACACTAATACATGCTTTTGAATAACTTTAATTCGTTCTGGAATTAGAGACATGAGAGAAAGCATGTGAAATTCAAAAATTTCACCTGTTTTTAAAACATGGTGTGTACAATATAAGTGGTATTGAGTGATGACTTTACATAGAAAGCATTCCTTGCTGTAGTTCATTGTTCTGACAAACTCTGCTTTTTCTTTTTGATGACTCTGGTTTCTTTTTCTTATGTACAAGTTTAACTACTGTGTAGATGTGGGATGGCTTGTAAAGCAGTATCCACAGGAATTCAGGTATGTTTATTTTTTGAAGATGAAATGATACAGTTTCCAAATCATTCTTTTCGTGCAAGTTCCTGTTATAATTCAATGATAAATGCTTGCTGGTAGTTGCAAATTATTGTTACCAATTGTGTATGTGTAGACTCTTAGTTTTCCTTGCATACTTATTCACAGTTGTAGTTCTTTTGATTTCTTGCCTCTTTTTAAGACTGTTAAATGGTCAGAGTTCAGTATGGTTGGTTTCTGATTTTTATTAACTAACATGACATCCCACTGTGGCCCATGACAACAGTGCAGTAGATGACCTATAGAGATGGAACAGCAAGCTTTTTGCTGTACAGGTTACTGAGCCAAGAGTAAGGTAATGCAAGAGGAAGGAGGGAATGTAGGAAAGGTGCAAAAAAGCTATGTGAAAGTGATCAAGATGATATGTTGTGGCTATTATATGGTTGGAGTTGCTGGGTATTGTCATGAAAGCAGTCATCCTGTTTGCTTGAAATTCCATTCTGATAATTGCAACCTTGATCGTGTGGCGTACAGTTTTCTCTCCTTTTGCATTTTACTGGAAATGTAGTAGAACAGAGTATTGGGAAGTGAACATGAAACTACTGCTGGAATAGACCTATCCCTCTCCTTTTCCCTCTTTCTTCCCATCTTCTCTGTAAGGTAACAATGATTAAATTGTCTTAGATCCACACTGTATATATCAATACTTCTGAGACCTTTTTTCTATCTGTTTCCAGCTATACAGGCAGCAGTTCCTTACAAGATCTGGTATTATTAGTTTCTATTTTAGGTCTGATTTACTCCATGCTTCCTGTTTTACTTTTTTTTTTTTCCATTGAAGTTTTCTAGTGTCTTTCTCTTGGAGGTTCTGGTGTAGCTACTGCTTTTTTGAGTTAATAAGGCATATAGATTTTAGTGCCATCTTCCTGCTGGGCTATTAGATTTAGGGGCCAGAAGTCATAGCTACATGAAGGAGTGACTTAGACTTATTACTAATTCACTTGGTGTTTTAATAGTAATCTCCTTTTATTTCAGGAAGAAGCCATTGTTGATAGTTCATGGCGAAAAGAGAGAATCCAAAGCTGAACTGCTTGCACAAGCACGCCCCTATGAGAACATTAGCTTTTGTCAGGTAATTAACATTTGTATCATCTTTTGGAGACACACCTTATAGGGGAAGTCAAGAATTTGTTGTTATGCTTTAAGGAATATACTTACCAGGACCATATGAACATGGTAACGATGTTCCTGGTCTTCTGTGATTATGGTAGACTGTCACCAACAAGAGGTTTGCACAAAACGACTGCCCACAAAAATGTCATGGTGCTCACAGAAGAGCTGCAAACCTTCTCCACTAACATGTTACACTCAGATTCTTGTAATGACTGACGAGGAACCACTTTTTGAGGTGAAGCACAGAACTTAGCCCTAGTGTCACTGTAATCTTAAGTATCTTCAAAGAATTATTTTTTGTCCAAATATGTTTTACACAAGAAAATGCTGTTACAAATAAAACTCCATAATGCTGTTAAAATTGTTACGAGCACACTTCCTGGCACATGCTGTTTTCTCTGATGTTATGGTCACTCTTTTGCTGTCCCAGAGTTGTAAAGTTATTGGCTTCAACCAGGGGAAGGGATGTGGTTATGGCAACTTGCCAGTGTTTAAGGATTTTCCTAGGCAGAATATATTATTGATCATGGGGATATCTTTGTCAGGAGGAGGATGATCTTGGAATTTTCTGCCTTCTCAAAGGGTCTGGTAACTCTGAGCTTCCTAGAGATTGATGTGTTTGCACTAAGTTGTGGTGTAGCAACAGTTTCAGATATGCTAAGAATAAATTCATGTTTTTGCATATAATATTTCATTTTCACACACAACAAGAATTTTAATGTAGTATGTCCCGTATGATAAACTTCAGTGTAGTTAATAGTAAGTAGTAGGGGAAAATGGCATTTGTGATGATTTTCCTATTTGAGCATACTGCTTCAGGTTCTTCTGGTAGTCTGCATGCATTCCATTGTGTTAGTGCCCCAAAAATGAAATATAAGTATTTTAATCTTCTCCTTTATGCCCATATTAACGAGGCACAGTGTTGGAGCCATCACTGGCTAAAAGTATTTTCTTAACATCTGTAACTTGTGTCTCATTCTTTCTGTAGAAATTGTGCTCTAAATACTCTAATTGGAGCAGAGCACTGATAAGCATTCCTGTCTGGCTTTTGTCCTTTTCTTTGCAATGTTAGCCATTAAACTGCTTATAACAGTCATCATATGCTTCAGAATCACAGAATGGTTGAAGTTGGAAGGGACTTCTGGAGGTCATCTGGTCCAACTCTCCTGCTTAAGCAGGGTTGCTTAGAGCTGGTTGTCCAGGACAGTGTTCAGATGGGGTTTTAATATCTACGAGGAGGGAGACTCCACACCCTCTCTGGGCAACTCATGCTAGTGCTCGGTCATCCTCACAGTAAGAAAAGTGTTTCCTGATGTTTGTGCCCGTTGCCTCTGGTCCTGTCACTGGGCACCACTGAAAAGACCCTGGCTCCCTTTTCCTTGCACCCTCCCTTCAGGTATTTGTACACATTGATGAGATCCCCCTGAGCCTTCCCTTTTCCAGGCTGAAGAGCCCCAGCTCTCTCAGCCTTTCCTCATAGGAGAGATGCTTCAGTCCCTTAATTGTCTTGGTGGCCCTTTGTTAGGCTTTCTGCAGTGTGTCCGTGTCTCTGCTGTACTGCGGAGCTCAGAACTGGACCCAGTACTGCAGGTGTGGCCTCCCCAGTGCTGAGTAGACGAGAAGGATTGCTCACTTCCCTTGGCCTGCTGGCAACACTCCTCCTAGTGCAGCTCAGGGCACTGTTGGGCATCTTTGCTGCAAGGGCACATTGCTGGCTCCTGTTCAACTCTGTGTCCAGCAGAACCCTCAGGACCTTTTCTGCGAGGCTGACTGTTTCTGAAAATATTGCTGTAAGAGACCAGAAATTTTGCAGGAGCAGTTCCAGCAAAGAGTTGCCTTGCTGTTTAAAGACTAACTGACTTCTGGGAATTAGAAAGTACATTAAAGGTGTTGAGGAGAAAAATAATGTATTTTGTCATCTGTCCACTAGAGAGCAGTGAAATCGAACGAAATGAAGAAGCACCTCTCCTCCTTTTTTTCTTATAGGAATGCACAATAGGAATTTTTAATTATCAACTTTTTAATTTTATAGGCTAAACTGGATATTGCGTTTGGAACTCACCATACGTAAGTAACAGTTATGAAGTAAAAAGCTCCACTTCAAAAGATGACGACCGAGTTGGTACATGCGGTTACCATGATTGGACTGCGTTGGGTGTTGGGTGTCTTACAGTATTTGAGATAGGAAGATAGATTGTTACTGTTTGTGAAAACATAATTCTGAAGGCCTAATGTATATTGATGGAATTTTAAAAGTAGTATCTTTGATGTTCTATGTGTGTTTCATTCATCTGGAAGTTATTTTAAAGCACTAAAACTGGGTTTCATAGAAATTGATGAGTCGCAAAGAAAAATGTTGTTAATTATTTTGTATTTATAGATGGTAGGATTGTTCTAGTTAAAGGAAACAAATAAGCTATTAGGTCGATAGATGTGCAAGTTAGACAAGTCATTGAAGTCAGTGAATTGCAGGTCCTGGCTCTTAACTCATGCCTTAATACCAGAACTTAATGCTTGATCAGTCATTCACAAGTTGGACAAAACACTGATTTACTCAGTTTTTGCAGTTAATGTAGATGATCTGGAAATAATTACTGAATTTTGGGGTCCTTTCAAAGAAAAAGGTTTTAATAAATTCATCTGTAAGCAAAGGCCTTTTAGTGTTCCTTAATTATTTTTTATCTGAAGAACATCACAAATATAGAAAGTCTTCTGCAAGTATCCATTTTTGCTTTGGGAAATCACTTGCATGGGATGTTAAGCTGTACTCTGGAATATATTGTATGACACTGCTGGCAAAATATATAGTATAGTCTAATGACTGCCACGCGAGTTTGACATACACATGGATTGAAGTCTGTTTGTACTATGCAGAACAAATGTTTTGAACATAATTATCTTAGAGCATTTTAATTAATTGTTATTTTATCTACTGCTCTCAGTGTACTTGAAACAGATGAGGTGTTATGTATCTTTGTTTTTTTTAAAGGAAAATGATGTTGTTGTTATATGAAGAAGGTCTTCGAGTTGTGATACATACATCCAATCTTATTGCTGAAGATTGGCACCAGAAAACTCAGGGGTAAGCAACAATCTCTAGCAGGTGTATATTTGCTTTAATACTTTCTGTAGATATCTGTTACTGCTGGAGATGGGGGATGTTAGGTCAGATGATCCAGTGCTACAAGTCTTAGACTCCTAAGATAGAACTATCCTGCAGGGGGAAAAAAAAAAAATCAAGCCTAGAATGGTGGTAGCTGTCTAAGCCTGAACTCTGCTTGCTTTTTACTGTAAACAGAATTATGTCCTGAGCTGGCTGTTGCCTTAAACTCAGTCTGATTTGTTTAAGGTCTTTTATTATGCCATGCTGACTCTCTATGAAAAAACTACCTAGCTATAAAGTCCTCTTTATACAAATCTGAAGTAGCTATTTAAAGATTATCTTAATACCGCAAGAATGATGTGAATATATCTAGAATGTAACTTGATAAATGCTGAGAACCATTGGTTCCTTAATACAGTAGATGACCCAGTATCCTTTCCTTGGAAGGAGTTTTCTTCCTGTTTTTTTTTTGGTAGTTTTTAAACTTAACAGCCAGCTTGGGATACAGTTTTGTTTAGAGCACGTGACATGTTAATATAAAGCTTCTCAACCTCTTCCGTTCTTGGCTGTTTTTATGGGAGCATTTTTTTAGTTAGATCTCCACAGTAACTCATGGTATAACATTTTTTCGTCAAACTAATTTAAAATGGCTTTTCAGAAGTTACTGTCACCTTGACATCCGTTTTGCTGGCATTAAATATGGCAAGGTTCTGAGGCTTTTCACTTGCTTGAGGCAAGCTCTCATAGGGGTTTTTGAGTGGCAAAAACACAGCCCCTGATTTTTTTTTTGCCTTTAAATCTTTTACTTAGGGACAGCTTTAGTATCTTGGCAGTTAGCTTTTCAGATGTCCAAGGCAGTATGTAATTACCTATTTGAGATGCTTAACAAGTTGCCCTACTTGTCAAACATGAAAAATGGTTTTTTTAACTTTTGCACACTGCAATAATACGCAGCATCACCAATATGATGGTTCACTAGCTTCTCTGCTTTATAGACTTCTGAATCACAAAGGATAGCAAAAGTTGTAAAGTTGATAATGCAGAGCCTTTGGTTTCCAGGGCTACAATAATGTGTGTCTGGAAAGAAATGTTTTCCCTGTGTAGTGTCCACCCTGTTTTTTTGTGATGGAAGTTCTGGAGAGGCAAATTGTCATTGTGGGCCACTCTTCAGACTATGCAGACATTTCAGATGCTGTAACTGGTGTTTTTCTATATCATTACACAAACCAGTAGCTTAACAGAATGTGTTGCAGTGTTGTATTCATACAGAAAATCTTGATTAAAGGGCTGCTTGTTGGTAAGTCTGAGCCTGTCTTGTTTAACAGTGATGAAAGCTGTAAACAGATGCATGGTTAAATGTGCTGAGATGCTTGTTTTCATTTGAAAGTATTAGTTTTGTGCTATTGAGTATAAGACTTGATTCTGTAGTTGTAATGTAAAGGCAAGTTGCCTTATAGTTAGTATAAAAATAAATCTGTCTAGTATTCATTTAGGACCTTCAGATGTGCTTTAGTCACTTACTAAAAACCATATGGTAATGTATAGTGTCCTTGTTTTTTTGGCTTTGTTTTTAGAATGTGGCTAAGCCCTTTATATCCAAGGCTACCTCAGGGAGCAACTGGTTCTGCTGGTGAATCTGAAACTAATTTTAAATCTGACCTAATAAGTTACTTGATGGCTTACAATTCTCCTACGCTCAAGGAATGGATAGATCTGATTCAAGAACATGATTTATCAGAGACAAGGTACTTATCTTATGTTTATAGTAACTTGCATGCTTTTTTTCCAAAAAATTAAACATATCTGTTAGGATCTATTAGACCTTGTGTTTGACTGAAGGTAGCTGTGAGTAATAGGGACTCAGAGGTTCATTTAAGTCAGTCTGGCTTAAATATTTGCTCTCAAAACTTAGGTGGACAAAAATTGAGTTGTATTTGGCTAGTCATGTAAGAGGGATCACATAATCCAGGGTTATTATGATGGGAGATTTTTATTAAGAACAGGCCTCTGTATTTTTAAGGCAAAGTTAAATCCATGTATGTGTGCATAGAATTTTGCCCATTACAGGCATGGATTGTGTCTGGTAGGCAATGTTATGTTAAGCAGTGATATATTTTGTCTTGAAACAGTCTTCTCTAGTATCACATTGCTGATATTACTTAAAATAATACAGGATGCTTAATTTACTTAGGTACATCCTGCATTTCCACTGAAGTATGGTATTTATTTCAGAAAGTGTAAATCTCCTTGGCTACTTAATTGCAGTTTTATAAACTGGAAAAAAAATTGTTGAAGGTTGAAAAAGGTCATAAACTGGTGGAAATGAAAGCTGAAACCTTGTCTATATATAAAACAAAGGGTTTTTTTTCTTCACGTGGAGTCTTACAAGACTGGAGGGGGTTAAAAAAAAGTTTTTACCTTCTAGTCAGGTGAGGTAACAGCCTGAGCTGCTGTTCTTATTCACTTGGTCATGTGCATGAGCTTGGACAGGCTGGCTGAGCCCTAGCTGATGTGAGTTTGTGTGGGTTAGGGAAGAGTCACTTGTTAGGAGAAGGGTTGATTCCTTGCCATATAAAATAACTAGAAGATATAAATCTACGTGCAAGATGCAGTAAAGAACAGCTTCTTAAACCATCTGTTTGTTGTGACTCTGGGCAGGTCTCTGTTTTCAGGGCAAAGTCAAACAGGCTACTAAGCCATTATTAGGAAGACAGGTGAACAAGCTGTACTTTGCATCTGAACTATTAGGTGCCCAAATGAAATCTCATACCTGAATCTGCTGATTTGGATGTAGCAATAGATTGGCTTTTCTCAAAATTACATGCCCAGTTCTGTGCCAAGTGGGCTATTTGCATTTATTGCTAGCATCATCTGTCTTCTGCATTTTTGTACACAGAAATAGATACAGTTCCCATCTATGCCATGGAGCAGCCTGGTGGTGCATGACAGCCATATAGATTTCTAATAATAAACTATACAGATGAAAATCTACTTTATATTGTAAATCTTAAGTGTGAAAGATTAATTATTTCTGGAAGCAATTCTTTTTTCAATCTTGCTGATAGATTTTGCTTAAATACCTTAATACTTTACAAACCAAAACACTGCAGAGCTGCGTGCAAGTTGGTGTTGGTTTTTTTCTTTCTCTAGGGTGTACCTGCTTGGTTCTACCCCTGGACGATATCAAGGTAGTGATAAAGAAAAGTGGGGTCATCTTAGGCTCAGAAAGGTACTAAAACGTAACCTTTTTTTGTTAATATCCTTTTAACTATAAATAGGATTTTGGAGAGCACTCTTTAGTTCCTTTCATTTTTTCCAGCTATGATCAGCAATCTTTTAATACATTGTTACAGTTTAAGTTAGCAATAACATAATCTTGCAATTTATGACAGTGTAGACTTTGCACATAATGCACGTGGGGATTATTACCATGGTTAGCTTGTGGTCTGGATTGTCATGTGCTTACAGGTATCTGAGGAGTCACCATCACTGAAATGACTTATTATCTGCGGTTGGTGTTTCTAACAAGTGTAACGCTATCAAAATCCAGTCTTCTGTGACTGGGAACCAAATACAGACTATTTCAAAGGCACTCAGTGAGGAAAGATGTGTCACTATAGACTTGCCTGCACAGAGGGAACAGGCTTATTTACTTCAATGTTAAGGGCTAGTACAGTTTCTTTTTTCCTAATGACCTTGCAAAACCCCATTGGATTAAAAACCAGTTTGCACATAGTTGATGTCATCAGTTTAGTCAGGTTTTTAGTTTTGTTCTGCTACATTTGTAAGATCTTAATTTTTTTTTTTTTTAAAAGCACAGAATAATTAGGAACAGTTTTGTTCTGCTACATTTGTAAGATCTTGATTTTTTTTTTTTTTAAGAGCACAGAATAATTAGGAACGTGGATTACTCTTACCCTCTCCCCCCCACATTATCTAAATAAGACATATGGTAGATCTTCATACAAGATTGCATCATATCTCAAGTAGGGCCCCTTCATTTTCAGTATTGGTTTAGAATCACATAAGGTATTTCGTGTCATCTGTTAAATGTTTCTCATAATTGGGGAATTTTCAACCTACATCTACTGCTGAGGTGGCATTATTTCAAATGCCATTGTGAATTTTACATGGAATTCTAATTCTGTCCATGGCAAACTTCAGAGACATACAAAATGTCTATTTGTCACATTGCTTTTGAGAACAAGGTTACTCTATTGGACCTCCCTGTGCTTGTAAAGAGCTTGCCCTTTCTGATGTGCGTTGTCTGCACATACTTTTGCCTGGTAAGACACTGAATTAAAACAAAATAAAACAGAAAAAGCCTGTAAAGGATAAAAATTATCTTGTGGCAAATGTTTCTGTGATTAAAAAGATTATAACAAAATAAAACAGAAAAAGCCTGTAAAGAATAAAAATTATCTTGTGGGAAATGTTTCTGTGATTAAAAAGATTAATTTTTTTTTAGTGACAATGCAGATAACCTGGTGACACTACACTGATGTAGTTATATGTCTTCTCTAGAGAGGGGGGAGAAGGTAGCCACTACATACAATTCAATATGTGCCTATATCCATCTGTTTTTAATGTGACTTTAAATTCCATTCACAGCTAAAGAACTCCTCTGAAAGGATTATTTCAATTTTCTCTTCAATTGTTCTTTTTTCCTCCTTTTGTAGGCTTCTGTTGTAGCTGGGGCTTCAGGATATGAGAGGAATTTTATGGCCAACAACCACCAAATATAAAAAGATTTAGTCATTGTATTTATTGTGACTTCTGAAGCTAATGTTTCATATTTTTAAGAAGGGCTGCTAGCATTCTTTTTACCCATTATTTAATGTTTGGCTTTGGAGCTTTTGGACAAAACTTGTGATGTTTGGTCTTCACTTGAAGAACAGTGGGTTTGTTTGGAGAGCCTGATTACTTCTTTTATTGCAAAGTTAAACAGATAGTATGACTGTTAATCTCTTCTGTTGGCAGAAGTGAATTATAGAGGATTTATTATATCAGAAGCTATACAGAACCCCTAATTAAGGTTTTCTTTGCCTGTTGAAGTCTAACAATGTTTTAATTTCCCTCACTAGCTTTTGAAAGAGCATGCTTCCTCAATACCAGCACAGGAATCCTGGCCTATTGTTGGACAGTTCTCAAGCATTGGTTCAGTGGGAGCTGATGGGTCCAAGTGGCTGTGCTCAGAGTTCCAGGAGAGCCTGGTGGCTGCAGGCAGCAGTGTGACAACTCTCCTTAAATGTGATGTTCCAGTTCATTTGGTATGTCATTTAGATGCTAGTGACCTTTATTTAGTATTTATTAATTTGTTGTTTAAATCTTAGTCATGGGTTTGCTTTTAACTTTTGGAAGACATTAATGTAGTTGTAATTGTGAAATCATAAGGATGCTACTTAGTGATGCTTACTTGTGCATGGTATGCTAGAAAAATGTATTATAATTTCCATCTGCATGACATTAGACTATAATCTAATCAAAATTATATTCTCATTCTATGACTTGTCTTTCATTGAGTTTTATAGATGCAGCTGTTACTGCTACTCGGATGTAACTGAACCCTGCGTGATTAATAGCTGAAACAAATTATTTTCTAACCTGGTTATTTTGGTCAGGTTATTAGCACAATTAAGGGGAGGAGCAGAAACAAGTTCTGTGTGTCAGAAACTTGTTAAATCAAGGATAAAATGTTGTCAGACTATGCCCTTACCATGTGCTTATGCTCATATTTGAGATATGAGCCAAAATCTCATAAAATAATGTTAGGAGCTTACTTTGACCACGGTGGAAGTGGTTGAAGCAGGATTGTTTGAGTCTTGCTAGCCAATTTTGGTAAGCTCTGCAAGAGTGGTAAAAATATTAAAGAGACTTTCTTTGGTACTGGTAGACGACTAGTTTTAAGCTGCAGTGTAATTTTGTTCATTCTGAAAAATTAAGCTTTTAATGTTTCTTTTTCTCAAGTAAGTTTTCTTTAAGGTGATTTTTTTTAATGACAGCTTGTGTGTTTAGATCTGTGTTATTAAGGTTACTTTTTTTTCCCCTTCCCTCCATTAAGGTTTATCCTACGGTGACCAATGTGAGACAAAGTCTGGAAGGCTATCCTGGTAAGCAGATGAACCCCATTTATTAGCTTTTGGTGGTCATAATGTCCTGCAAAATCACTTCAGTGGCTGATGTTGAATGAACCCGAAGTTGTCATCTTGCTGAGAACTTGGTAGAATAGGTGGCAGTAGAATCCTTTTATTACTGTTCCTGGAGCTCTGACTCCAACTCTGCTATTGTGATTGAATAGAAAAAAGCTTTGTGGGCATTGGTGTATAATGTTCAAGTCTGTATAGCTGTGTTCATACGTCACTGTAGAGGAAGGAACAGCTCTTGCCCATTGTACTAACTCCAGTGATACTTTCATTTTGGCAGAAAATTCAGGTTTGAGTGTGCTGAGTTCTTGTGTTTTCTTCGCAGTGTCATCCTGCACATCAGATACAATGGAGAATAAGGCGTTTCCCTACTCATTAGTCTTTTTTTAGTATTGCAATATGCAGTTGTCCTGTTCAGTTTTCCCATGTTTGTGTTCATGAAGTCAATATACTTGTATAGAAAGCATAGCCACAGCCAACCTGAAAGAGGAAGAGGTAGTGTTGTGCTCTGATGCAGTGAAGCTTTTGTTTCTCAAAAGCAAGCACTTAAGTGGGTTACACTGGTGCATCCTAAGGGAGCTGGCTGAGGGCAGTTTGAGGCCATTGTTGATTAGTCTTCAAAAGGTCAAGGCAATTGGAAGAGATTCCTGAAGACTGAAAGAAAATAATTCTATCCTGACTTCAGGAAGGGTAAGAAGGAGGATCTGTGGAACTATAGGCCTGGCAGCTTCACCTCCACCCCTGGGAAGGTGATGGAGCAAAGAATCCTGAAAACCTTTTCCAAACATGATAGTCAAGAAGGTGATTGGAGCAGTCAGCATGGATTTATAAAGGAGAAATTATGCTTGATTAACCTGATGTCCTTCTACGATGAGATGACTGGCTTGGTGAATGAGGAGTGCCCTCGATGTTGTTTATCTTAACTTTAATAAGGCTTTTGACACTATCCTCTGTAACATCATTACAGACAACCTGATGAACTACAGGCTGGATCAGTGGACAGTGAGGCAGATTGGAAACTGGCTGAACTGCCAGGCCTCAATGGTTGTGATCAATGACAGGAAGGCCAGCTGGAGGTCAGCCACCAGTGCTGGGGAGTGTTTAATATCTTCATTAACGACCCGGATGTTGGGGCAGAGTACATGCTCAGAGAGTTTGCAAGTGACACAAACTCAGGAGGAGCAGGTGATGTATCAGATGATCACGCTGCCATTCAGAGGGACTGTACAGGCTGGAGAAATGGGCTGACAGGAACCTCGTGTAGTTCAGCAGAGGGCAATGCAAAATACTGTGCTGGGGCAAGAATAACTCCAGGCACTAGTACACAATGGGTGTTGACTGGGGGAAAGCAGCTTTGCAGAAAAAGATTTGGAAGTGCAGGTGATCACTAAGCTGAAGGTGAGCCAGCAATGCACCCTTGTGGCAAGAAGGCCAACAGCTTCCTGGGCTGCATTAGGAAGCATGTTGCCAGGAGGTGACCCATCCCCTCTATTTAGCACTGGCGAAACCACATCTGAAGTGCTGTGTCCAGTTGTTGGCTTCCCAGTACAATACAGACATGGACATACTGAACCAAATCCAGCAAAAGGTCACAAAGATTAATAAAGGATTGGAGCATCAGTGATACAAGGAGAGGCCAAGAGAGCTTGATAATTCTTCATCCTGGAGAAGACAACTTTCCTGGGAGATCTGATCAATTGTGTATAAATACCTGATAGGAAGATGTAAAGCAGAGGCAGATTCTTTGTGTAGTGACCAGTGAAAGAACAAGAGGCAATGGACATACACTGGAATCTCCTGTACCTCAGTTTACCTTTACAGAAAAAATGTTTTCATATGTTTAAATGAAGCAGGTTGCTCAGAGAGGTTCTAGAGTCTCCGTTCTTGAAGATACTCAAAACCTGACAGGACACTGTACTGAGCAATGTGCTCTCTTTGACCCTGCTTTGAACATGGAGATATCCTAGATGATCTTCAGAGGGAGCTTTTAACTTCAGTGATTCAATGCTTTGGCAATGCTGAATCCATAAATGTGTTCCTGTTCCAAGACAGACACCTATACTCCTATGCAGTATGATGTAGGGTAGCTGTTGAACACTTCTAACAATTGGTAGAATTTGAGCAGAGG